ATTCCGCTTCCTCTTCCTCCTCCTCCGCCTCCTCTCCCCGCTCCATCTCACCCCCACTCCCCATCCCCGACCCTGACTCCCATACCCCTCAACCATCACAAGCCATACTACCCATTGTCCAACCAATACCAATCCCGGGCTACCCAGCCACGACCCAGCTCCCTCTGCTGCCCCTGCCTCGTCGACCACCAGCCGTCAGCCGCCGCCCGCTCGCCCTGCCAGCCCACCTTCATCACCACGTAGCTCCCACCCACTGCCAGCTACACAACCCACGAATACACCCAAGGTCATCACTCGCCACACACTAGCTCCAGTACCAATATCGCTGTCATCGACACCCATCTTCCTCGGCTCATTTCCGCGTAGACTTGTTTTGCCTAGTCGGTTGAGCACGCCCTCGACCGCCCCACCCCGCACACGTCCCCCACCACACACATTGCAAGATATGGCCAATCTGATTTCACTACTACCCTACTACATGCCCACACTACCCCCAGGCATAGTCTCCAATCTACAACTGCTGTATTCCAGAATCCGAGTTCCGCCGGCTCGGGCCCAACTTGTTGGCCTGGTGTCGTTTCGAAGGTGCTGACCCCTCCTCCCCGGGCCCATCTCCGACCCCCACTCCCGAACCTGTCCACCCACAACCACCACACCCACACTACACATACGCACTACACCTGCAAACGTATCCACTCACTCTCTGCTCCCCGATATCTACATCGGCCGACACCATCCCGTCAACAGCATGGCTGTCCGTCGCCTGCTGCTCGCCGCCGACCGCCGCCCGCCGCCAACCGACCACCGCCGGCACCACCGAGAGCACGCTAGCCATCGACGGAGCATCGGAGGCTATGCATACGGAGAGCCAGATCATTGGCAATGCCTACCAGTTTGCTCTCCAACCCACTTCTTCCCTCCCTCCTCCGGCCTTGCCCGTCACCCTCCCTCCTCCGGCCTTGCCCGTCAAAGCCCGCGCCGGCCTGCTCGTCGCCAGCCGCCCCAACTGCCGATCACCGAGCCAGACGATGAGACCACCGGGCTGGCCAAGACGAGGAAGAACAAGAGAGGGCAAGGGCGAGCGATATTCAATGCAGTGGTGGGCCAGAGTGCAGTGGTCTGCCTCGTCGTCCAATCCCAAGCTCTCGTCTCCATCGACGTCCATCTCAATTCAATCCCGTCCGCCCTCCTCCTCCTGCCGCCCAAGCCGCTCCACTCTCATCAACCACACCCCACACACATCCATCAGCCGTATCATACCCACCTTCATCAATGCTCAAGCCCAATCGCCATTCCTACTGCCATTTCGCCCGTCACGACCCTACGTCACGACCCCCTCATCCCCCCTACCATACTCATTACCACCCGTCACCACCAACCACCACCCCACCCCTACCCACCACCATCACTATCATCCTAGCCGCAACCACCACCCCTTGCCATGGCCACGCCCACCACCATCCCATCGCGCACCCCGCTTCCTCTTCCTTCTCATCCTCCTCCTCTCCCCGCTCCAGCTCACCCTCATCCTTATCCCCGACCCCGACACTGCCACCCCTCAACCATCACGTGTTTTTCTGTCCATTGTCCAGCCAACAGCAATCCCGGGCCACCCAGCCCCGATCACGCCCCCTCAGCTGTCCCCTCCTCGCCGACCACCAGCCGCCAGCCGCCGCCCGCTCGCCCGTTCAGCCCACCTTCATCACCACCTAGCTCCTTTCTACTACCAGCTACGCTACCCACAACCTCACCCAATGTCATCACACACCCCACACTATCACCAGTACCATTATCGCTATCAGCGATACCCATCGACCTCGGCTCCCTTGCGCGTAGACTTGTTTTGCCTAGGTGGTTGAGCACGTCCTCGACCGCCCGACCCCGCACACGCCCCCCACCACACTCATTGCAAGATTTGGCCAATCTGATTTTACTACTACCCTACCACAGACACATACTACCTCCATGCATTGTCTCCAATCCACAGCTGCAGTATTCCGGAATCCGAGTTCTGCCGGCTCAGGCCCAACTTGTTGTCCTGGTGTCGTTTCGATGCTGCTGACCACCCCGCCCCGGGCCCATCTACGACCCCCACTCCCTATCATCTCCACCCACAACCACGACACCCACACCACACATACGCACCACCCCTGCAAACATAGCCACCCACTCCCTGCCCGCCGATACGCACATCAGCCGACGCCATCCCGTCGACAGCATCGCTGCCGACCGCCTGCTGCTCACCACCGATCGCCGCCCAAGCCGACCCGTCCACCGCCGGCACAACCCCGATCAGGATAGGCAGAACACGAGTATTGTATGATTTACCCGTGGATAGTGAGACAGGTGGCAATGACTATCAGTCCCATACCCTACCTCCTTCTCCCCTTCTTCTCCCCGCCTTGCCCATCCTGCCCCAGCCCACCTGTCAACCAACCCAGCTGCTGGCCGGAGGACCGCCAGGACAGACAAGGCCAGTGGGCTGTACAGGGCAAGGGAAGGAGGGCGAGGGAGAAGAGATAGAGGGTGCAGTGGTAGTTAAGACTGCAGTAGTCTGCCGCCCGATCTTGAGTCCTGTTACCCGTGTCATCGTCTCCTATCGACTGCTCACTGGCCAGCAACTCGCCGCCCGCTCGCCCGCCCGCTCAACCACTCACAGCCAAGCCAGATCAAGCTAGATCAAGCCCAGCACGACCTGTTGCTGGCTATACAGGGGGAGTGGCTGGTGTGGTCACAGGAAATGGAGGTGAGTGGGTGTAGATGGCTGGAGTGAGATGGTTGTGATGGCTATGGCTGCTGTAGCCAACGCTGCTGCTTTGAGCCGAGGCCGAGTCGAGCAGCGAGCGATCGAGTCACGGCCAGCCGCTCGTCGCTCAGCCACTCGCCGGCATGGGCGCCTTGCTGCTGCTGCTGCTGCGGGAGAAGAGGAAGCCCAATCCGAGGCGGCGATGTCCAGGTTAGTGATAATGCTGATGCTGATGCTGAGGATAGTGACGGGGATGGGGGATGGCGATGGCTGGCGATGGGAGTGATGGTTGAGGCGGCGGCGCTCATGGTTGCGATGGCGGAGGACGACCCGAGGCGGTGACCGTGGCTGAGGACGAGGCTGCGACTGCTGAGTAGAGAGAGGGAGGAGTAGAGGGATGTGACGAGGGAGACGTATGATTGATCCATGCATCGCAAACAAGCCAGCTACTGCGTATCACCATCGGCACCGCATCGCTTCCGGGCGGGCCGAAGAAAGCGACAGCCCAGACGAGCGACCGGGCAGGCCGAATCGGCTTTCTGACTGTCGTACCCGCACACTCCGCTGGCACCTCCCCGGCCATGGCCACCGCCGCCGCCGCCTACCTGGCCACCCTAGCTTCTATTCCCAACCCCACCGGTGGCGAGCAGGTCCTGGTTGGCGCTCTCCTTGCCGCTCTCGACAACCTCGGTCTTGCCGACCACGCCTCGTACGACCCAGACCACGGCGTGTGGCTCCGTGTCCCTTCTCGCCTTGTCGGCTCGCTCCTGGCGTGCCCCGACCTTGCCACATGGGCTGCTCCGTTCCTTGCTGACCTCACCCCGCGGGCCTCGCGAGTCTCCGTCCTTCTTGTGGCCCACACTGATTCGGACGTCTTGACCAAGGCTGGCTGCCGCGCTGCCCGGCTCGACGACGATGGCACCAGGCTCGAGCTCCCGCGCGGCGAGGCTGGTCTCGACGACAAAACCGGACTTGCGGCCATCCTTGGTCTTCTCGCTGGCCTTTCCGAGGCAAGCGAGGCCTGTGACTTGTCGTCGAGGCGGTCGCCACCGCTTCGCCTCTTTGTTCTCTTCTCCATGTACGAAGAGGTTGGCCAGACCGGCGCTATGAACTTACCGGACACGCTCCTAGCCTCCGGCCGGCCCAACTACACCATTGTTATCGACCGCATGTCGAACCGCCACCCGCTCGGCACCCGCCGCCACGCTGTCACTGAATACTGCGGCGTCCCGCTACTTCCCCCATTCGAGCTCTGTATCCATCCGCCGCTTGTCGATCTGCTCGGCATCGCCTACGCGTCGGCCCCTCTCGAGCTGCCGACCTGCCCCTCCAAGTACTGTTCAGATGCCATAGAGTTTCGCGGACGCTTCGATGCCGAGATTGTGCTCCCTGCCCTATGCGATGCGCTTGCCGACTTGCCCGCCTCGCGATGGCTGCGGAAGACCTGCGACGCTGCGAACAAGCTTGCCCGCGTCTACCGAAAGTCGACCGCCGCCATGCGTCGCCTTGTCGCCGATGCGCCCCGCGACGTCCGCGTCTGTTCCTACCGCCGCAAGCCACGCTCGACTCGATACGCTACCCTTGCTGCCATCTACGACTTTCTTTACCTTCCGCGCGACATTCCGTCTCGCCACGTTTGCCTTTCAGACTTGTCGTCGTCGTCATCGTCGTCGTCATCGTCCTCATCCGCGCCGTCGCCGCGCATCAAGGCTCCGCTCTACCGCCTCCTCTCACGCAAGCTGCAGACACGTCTCTCATCGCAAGTTGTTAACCTATCCATGGACTACGACGAGACGCGCGGAAGCTTTGACCTCGCAGAGTTGGACGAGACTGTGATCCTCCTCCGCCGCACGCTCTACCTCGCCGCTCGACCGAGTTCCCGCAAGTGAGGGTCCTGCTGCGACCTAACGCTTCCGTCCCTGCTTCGACCAGAACACCGGAAAAGTGCCCTGGTTCCGCCGCAGCGTCCGACTTGGTGACTTGATCGACGTTCGCTTGCCATGCCGCCGCGACGGCATCCGCCGCGCTGCCTCCGCCTGCTCCGCCCACACGTCATTGGTCGCCACCACCACGTCACGCTCCGAGACCGGACGCAACCGCCGCGGCGAGGTCAACAGCGTCTCGATGTATGCAAGGTCGATGCCGGTCGAGTTCGATTGCGTTGGCGTCGCTGACCCGGATGAGTGCGTCGTCGCCGTCGTCGTCGTCGCGTCCATCGGCGGGAAAGCATTGTCATAGTGGACGACCGCCACGTCGTCGAGCGAGTTTTCCGCAGAGTGCACCAGGCCGCGCTCCGACGGTGGGGTGCGGATCGGCGAGACAAGCGGCGACCACATCGCCATCAAAGCCGACGTGTCTGACCGCGTCGTGTCCAGCGGCGTCGGGTGCCCGTACGCCTCGTCATCGGGATACAGGACCGCCATCCGTGCCCGCTCGATCGCGTCACGCTGCAACATGTTGGTCGTCCACAGCCGCAGCCGTGACCCGTTCGACTCGACGGCGTGGAGCATGAATGGCATGTCGAACAGCTGGACCGCAGACGGACGTGCCGCGGGTCCTTGGCCATACATGCGTCCACAAAGTCGCAAAAGTCGCGGGTTAGCCCGACGTCGCGCGGCATCCGAGGCGCGGACGACTCAACAATAAGCTGTGCCACGTCGAGGTGCGTCTTGGCCTCCGACACGTCGTACGGGTACCCATCGCTGGCCATCGCTGCCACGCGCAGCACCAGTCCGAGCGACCAGATGTCACACTTTTCGTCGTACACTTGCAGCTCAGAGTCCGACACCCGCCGCCGCGTGTCGAGCCGCTCCGGCGCCATGTACAGCTTGTTGCCGATCGGCGAGTGCGCCAGCGGCACAAGACCGCGCCGCGCTCGCTCCGGCTCGGGCAACGAGAGCTCAATCACTCCCTTGGAGTGCGCAGAGAGCTTGCCGCTCTCGCTCTCGAGCGACTTGGCATGCCCAAGGTCCGCCACCTTCGCCCGCCCGCCCGTGTTGAGCAGCACGTTCTCCGGCCGCAGGTCGCGGTGCATCACACACGCCGTCTGCAGATACCGCAGCCCGCGGAGGAGCATCGCTGCCATGTCAGCCAGTGGGCCTTCCGGCACAGGTCCCCATTTTTTGCGCACGCTTGCCAGCGACCCGAGGTCCATGTACTCCATGCACAGATACAGCCGCAGATACATGCCGTGTTGCACCACAAACGCGCCACGGAACTTGACAATGTCCTTGGACACCGACGACGTCGCATGCAAAAGCTTGCACTCGGTCAGAATCCGCCGCGACACGTGCTGGTTCCGTACGTCGTACTCGAGCCGCATCCGCTTGACGGCCACCAGCGTGTCATCCGCCGCAGCCCGGTACAGCGCCACCGTGCCAAACGCTCCCGACCCGAGTTCCTTAATCCTCCCACCCTCGCCCTTGCTGCCAAACACGTCGGCGTGCCCGAGCCCGACGTCGTGAACAACCTCCACAGACGCACGCTCGCCCGCCGGCAGCCTCTCGAGAAGCTGCTTCCGCGCCCGCCGCATCATCCGGCTCTGTACACGCTTGCTCATCGACGGCGAGAGCAGCGCATGCAGCCGCCGCGTCTGCGGCTCGTAGTACACAAATCCACCGTCTGACAAACACACATTGTTGTTGCAGTCGATCAGTACCCCATCCGCCATCATCGTCCCATCTGGCAGTGTCGACGCAAACGTAGGCGTTAGCACCGACGGCGGACGCCGCCTCCACGACGGCATCCGCTCGCTCGGCGAGCTTGACCCGGGCGTCGTCGCCGGCGAGTCAAGCGAGCTCACAGACGTCGACAGTGCGCGGAGTGCCAGTCGGCTCACTCCCTTGGGTGACCCCGACGCCTTCACCTCCACATGCAGCTCGCCGCCGCCTGACGAGCACGCGTCTTCGTCGCACGAGTCCGAGCTCCGCGTCAGTATCACTCCCGAGTTGGAGCTAGTTGACATTGACCCGGTCATCTCCGACGATGTCATCGACGACGCCGTAGTCGCTGGCGACAGGTCGTCTGCCACCCGTCGGTGGCTCTTGTGGACGAGCCCGCCGTCTGGTACTGCAAGCTGCCGCATTCTGCCCTCTGGTGCTTGTGCCATTCCGTCGTCGGGCCGCGCCGTCGGCGAGTTGGGCAAGCTCCGCATCTGCTCACCGGCTCCGGCATCCGCATCCAGCGGCAGGCTTCCATCCGATCCATCCCACGCCTCCGCGCCACAGCCGACCTTGCTCCACTCGCTCATAGTCTCCTCATCCACACCACTACTCGCCCTCCTCCCGCTGCCTGGCCCGACTTTGGCCTGCATCTGTTGTTCTCCATGACGCGCTCGGCCTCGTTGGCCTACGCCAGCCAACCCGTCTAGCCCACCAGCCGCAGTCAGACCGACATACCCCCAAACCACAAACCCCGTACACGTCCCGCACCCCCCATACAAAGACAAACACAAATATAAGTTCCCCACCCCTCCCCTCCCTCCTCCCCCCGTGTGCGCTGACCTCTCAACCCGCTGTGTGCGCTGAGGTCGTCGAACACGGCTCTGTTCCTCCCCCCTTCCCTCCCCCCCCAACACGGCACACTTCCTCCACGTTCCCTCCCCCTCCCCGTCCACCCTACCCCTACAAAAATCACCCTCGTGACCACGTACCCACTGCTGCTTGCTCTGGTTGTACTCGCGAGACCACAACCCGAGGCCGTGTCCCTCGCATCGGGTCGAGTGTTGTCAGCCCCGGTAAGTAGGGAGGACGGGCTAGGGCATAGAAGAGCATTTTTTTCTACTCACCCACAGCTACCGGGCACTGTACCGATGCCTGGCTCAGCAGCAGCACATAGACAGGCACTCCCATCAACGCATCCCTTTGCAAGATCATCTCGTTGTTTGTTGTAGTTATGAGTCGACCTACAGTGCCCGGCCCGACGACATGCCGACCGACATTGTGGTCTGCGGAGCTGCGCCCATGGAGATGATCTTGAGCGCCGCAGCCTGATCATCAACGACATGCGCGGCGGTCTCCTCGGCATCAGCCGCAGCCTCCTCGTACACCTTGGATGCCGGCAGGTTGTAGCACCGCCGGCAGACGGCGACGTACTTGTCAGCGCCGCCGATGACCTCCACCGCCGTCTCGGTCCCCAGCCGCTTCGAGAATGAGCCGGGCCCGTAGCACACCATACACACTGCGTTGAGCTTGGTCACCTCCTCCGCAAGCGGCACCAGCGCAAGGATATCTCCAAACGCCTTGCGCTGGAACGTGCCATCAAGCGCAGCCACGATCACCACCTTGCCCGCATCGGCCATCTCCTCCGCAAACGCCACCGTGTCCGGGAACTGCACCTCGCCCACAGCCAACAACCAGCCAAATCAACCCACCCGCAACATGTTAGTGACCTTCATCTCCTTCTCTGCACCCTGCGCCGCCGCCCTGGCCCCTGGCAATAGATTCCACGCAATGCCAAAAAGTGCGCAAAGGTTGGCGCCAACCGGTCAGCGGGCCGACGAGCCACTTTCAGCGACGGCAACCCACGCCCACCCTATCCATAGAGAGTACGTACAAACTGACCCTCGTCGATGGCCACAACCTGGGCATCAGCGACATATGCACGGGCATCTTCCAGACGCTCGCATGAGAACGCCTCCAGTGTTTGCCTATCCCCATCCATGCCCGGTTGACTGTGGTGAGTGCCCCGCGCTTCGCGGCTGAAGATTCTACCCATCACTCGGCGCGCTGGCCAGGGGGGGGGGGGGGGGGGGACGGGGACGAGGGGCTCCACAAGAGACAGAGAACATGGATACAGGTGGAAGGGGGAGTACGTACTTGTCGTGGGTCGCCACAGATGTCTCCGAGTACCGTGCGTCGGCGTGGTACTTGAGGAGGGCCACCCGCTTGTTGGCAATGGTGTATCGCTTGACCCGACGAAGGAGCTCAGTCGACTTGCCTGAGTTGGGGTATGAAGAAGGCAATTGAGTGAGTGGACGTGGGAGGCGCGGGAGAGGGGGAGAGGGAGGGGGAGAGGGGAAGGGGGCGCTGTTGTGTGGCGTACCCGAGAACATGGGGCCGAAGATGACCTGGATGTGGCCGCGGTAGTTCATTTGGTGATGAGGGGGGAAGAGAAAGAGTCGGGTGTCGGCGGGTGACGGGCCGAGGCGACGGCTCGCCCGACAACTGGCTGATGGCCGGCCAGTGGATAGTGACACCCTGTGGGCGAATCTGACTCGGTGGGCACGAGCGCCTGGGCAGAGGCCGGGGCAGAGTACGAGGACCACGCTACGGTGGATGAGCCTCTTTTGGCCAAGCAAGATGCTGGCATCGAACCCTCGGCCGCTGGCCCCCCGGGCTCACGACGGTCAAGCACTCAGTTGAGGCCGTAAAAGTTGAAGAGGGTGTCCTTGAGGTCGGGCGGAAAGTTGGCGTAGTACTCGGCCCAGTTGGCGAGGTCCATCGATGACTTAAAGGCAAAGAGGATCTGGCCAAACATTTCACGCAGATCGTCGGGCGGCGACTTCCACGAGGCAATGGCACCGCAGACGAGCGGAAAGTTCTCAGTGGCACCGTCCGGGTTGGCGGCAATCATGAGGCAGAGGCCGCGGAAGGCCGAGTCCTTCTCGGGATCATCAAAGATCGATGAGAGCGAGGTGCACCACGGCATCAGGAACGAGTCGAGGTGCGGGGCGACGAGGTCCGTGCAGTGGATGCCGAGCCGGCCGAGGGTGATGGCGGTGTTCTCGAGAAGCGAGCGCGAGGTCTTTGGCCGGTTCATGATGGGAATGAGCCGCTCGAGGATGGTGTTGACGTATGGCACGAGCGAGTCGCCCACCTGCATGGCAATCTGGCCGATGGCCCACACCGCGTTGTTACACACCGACGAGTGCTGCGGGTCGAGGTTCTGAATGAGAATCGGCAGCAGCTGCTCAAGGTAGCCACCCACAATGTGGATGACGGCCTTGGCAAGGTCGCCGAGGACGGCAAAGCCCGACTGCCGAACGTCAGCGACGTCATCGACCACGCACGCGCACACCATGTCCATCATCTTGGTCTCCACCACCAGCGGCTCAACCTCGGCGCCGATGGCGTCCACAACGCCGGCAAGCAGGTCGAGCGAGCAAACAAGGAACTCCTTCGATGGCAAGTCGTTGACCGACGACGGGTCGGCCCACGCGTTGAGCGTCTCGGACATGACCGTGGCGCACTGCAGGAAGACGGCCGGCGCGTAGTCAAGGAAGTACATGCCCACGGCCGACGAGACCGACGTCAGTGCCTCCATCAGCGGGAACAGTGAGGGGTCGTCGATCGAGACCGCCTGCCACTGCGCCATCAGCGCCGGGAGCAGAATCGCCGCGTACTCCTCACGCCGCAGCTCCTTGTTGGTGTTCTCGGCGAGCGCGCCAATGGCGTCATACAACAGCCGCCGCGACCGGATCTGGTACATCTCCATGGCCTGGACGTACGTGTTGAGAATGGCCGGAAACATCGGAATGAGGGCTGTCGACGCCTTCTCCTCTACCACAGCCAGCGCCGAGCACGCCGCCTCCTGCACCTGCTTGTTGCGGTCGAGGACGCGCCCCAGCAGCGCCTGCACAAACGGGTAGAGCGTCTCCTCCGGTTGCTCCATCCACACCACCCACTCGGCATACCGCGAGAGCGTCCAGCACGTGATCTTGCGAATGAGCGGAACAGGGTCCTCGAGCGTCACGCCGAGCAAGTGGCTCAGCGTCTCGGGTAGGAACTCGGCGAGCCCGGCGCCGCACCCCACCGAAATAGCCCCGAGCGCAAGAATGGCCGACTCGCGCTCGGACCACTCCTCAGAGTTCATCATCTCCATGATAACCGGCATGACGTGCGGGAGGAGCTCCTCCTTGAACACTCCCGCGAGCACGTCAATAGCCGCCGCCGCAGACTTGCGCAGGTTCCACTCGGCAGAATACTGGTCCGCTCCCTCTTCCTCCTCCTCGTCGTCCGAGAGCTGCTCGTGTCCGTGCGAGACCATGGCAGAGGCGTGGAACCGCGGCGCAATGTCTTTGGCAAGGTCCGGCTCGTGCGTGTCGTCCTCAAAACCGCCGAGCATGAGAAGGTCAAACTCAGAGTAGATCATGTTCTTGAGCAGGACCGGGACAAGGACGTCGAGCTGTGGCCGGATGAGCTTCTCGGCAACGGCAGCCTCGGCAAACGTCGCCCAGAACTCGCACGCCTCGAGCGCAAGGAGCTCGTCGTCCGATGCCGTGCACACCAGCATGTACTGCACCACCTGGTCCATCTGGTCCAGGAACAAGTCCGCACGCACCTCGAGCATCTGCACCATCGCGTCGCACACCATCCGCTGAATCGGTACGTGCTCGTCCGTCGCCAGGTGGTACAGACCTGCCACAAAGTCCTCCGCCACCTTGAGAAAGCCGGAAGACCGGAGCAGGATAAACTCCTTGACGCACGCCAGCGCGTTGCGCCGGATCTTGTGGTTCCCGTGCGTAAAGAACGCCATCCACTTGGGCACTAGGTACTCGAGCGCCATACCGTTCTGGAATCGGTGGATCTCATACGCATGGTCCGCGCAGAGCTTGCGCATCACCGACAGCGAGCCGACCACGTCGAGCTCGTTGTCCGAGTCACACATCGACGAGAGACCGTCGAGGAGCTCGGGCCATCCCGAAAAGTTGATGTTGTCGATGATCGTCGCAATGATCACGCCCGCAGTCGCCTGGATGAGCGCGTGCTCATTGCCAATCACCTGCACAACCTGCATCTTGATGTACGTTTGCACATCACTCGGCAGCCGCGTAAACCCGTGCATGACATTGCGCTTGAGGAGGAGCCCTGCCGCAGCCCGCACGTTCTCGGCAGCAGCCGTCATGTGCACAAGCACAAACATCAGATAGCAGTTGAACTCTTCCATCTGCTCGTACTGCTCTAGCCTCTATCTCGTCCACAGACCCACCGCAGCCATCGCTGTGAGTCCATACCCCCCTCCCCCTCCCTCGCCTCCCCTTCACCCCCCCCCCCCTTCCGCAAAAACATCCGCTCATGCCAGCTCCCATGACTTGCCCGCCATCCTCCGTCGTGCTGTGTCTTCCGCCCTGTGGTGCTCGAAGGAATGTCCCTTGACTTGGACCACAACCACGAGGGGGGTGGGGAGAGCCCAAGACTTTGGCGGCCACCGCCACCGCCGACCCGGTCTCACACAGCCATGCAAAGCGCCGCGATAAAGCTAACAACCACAATAGCCCCGCGCACACCTCAAGCTCGTGCCATGCCTGTAAAGCATTTCGCTAGCATGCTGCTGGCTTTGTCGCCTGTGCCTCGCGTGGGCAATTTCCCCCGTCGGCCGGCAATGGCCGATGGATGGCCATCCTCGCCGCACACACACACACTCTCTCTCTCTCCCCCTCGGGGACCACGTGCTCCAGCACGCCCGTGGGAGGCATGGTGAAGACGGCCAAGTACGCACCTGGTACACGTCATGGTGGACGCTTGTCGAGGATGTCTGTGCCATCTGCAGCAACTGGCAGATCTCTGTCATGATGTTTGCGTCTGGCTGCCACTCCATGTTGCCGCCGTCTCCTCGCAAGCCGAGTGTATCGCGGTGTGGCCAGTTTGCTCGAGTGGCCCGTTCTGGCAGTGTGGTGCGCAACCGCCTAGCAATGCCTTGCATGCGCAGGATACAGGTGAGGATTTAGCAGAGAACATAGAGCTGGGCTAGACGCGGCTTCACGCAGCCGCGCGCTCGTTGCCCCACTGGTCGGTGGAGCGGAGGTTGAGCGAGACCGGGCCGCCGATGCCGGTGGCGACGACCGAGACGCGGACGGTGTCCTCGGGCAGGTTGGCGTCGTAGGTCGAGCCAAAGATGATGTTGGCGTCGTCGTCAGCGATGACCTCCTGCACGGTCTTGGCGGCCTCGTTGATCTCCCACAACGTCATGTCGGTCGAGCCGGCGATGTTGATGAGCATGCCCGACGCCGACGACAGGTCCGAGTCGGCGAGCAAGTCGTTGGAGATGGCGGCCGAGGCCGCGTCGACCGCACGGCTCTCGCCGGACGCCTGGCCGGAGCCCATCATGGCCCGGCCCTGCTCCCACATGACCGCCCGGACGTCGGCAAAGTCGAGGTTGATGAGGCCCGGCATGACCATGAGGTCGGTAACCGACCGCACGCCGGCCTGCAGCACAAAGTCGGCGAGGCCAAACGCGTCGCGCAGCGATGTCCGTGCCGTCACCTTGGTCATCAGCTTCTGGTTGGGAATGACAATGAGCGTGTCGACAGACTCCTCGAGCTTGGCCAGGCCCTCGAGCGCAAGCCGCTGCCGGTTGCGGCCTTCAAAGTCGAACGGGAGGGTGACGACGCCAACCGTCAGCACACCGCGCGACGCAATGTGCCGCGCAATCTCGGGCGCCGCTCCAGTCCCGGTTCCGCCACCCATACCGGCGGTGATGAACACCATGTTGGCGTCGCCGACAGCAGCCAGAATGTCCGGCATTGACTCGAGCGCGGCCTCGCGCCCGATGTCCGGGTTGGCGCCGGCGCCGAGCCCACGCGTCACCTTGGATCCAAGCTGAATCCGAGCGTCGGTCGCCGCCTGTGACAGCGCCTGGTTGTCCGTGTTGCACACCACAAAGTCCACACCCTCTAGCTGCGACAGGATCATGTTGTTGACCGCGTTGCCGCCGGCGCCGCCCACGCCCACCACCGAGATCTTCGGCCGCTCATAGTCGTAGTCGGCCGGAGGATCCGCCGCATACGCCGTCGGCGGCGTCGGCAACGACCGCTCGCCCGCGTCCTTGGCGCTGCTCGCCGAGCCCGTGCTCGTTGAGCCCTCGCTCGCTGAGCTCTCAAAGTTTCCCGCCAAAAACGCCTCCACCTCGGACGACCGCTCAGCCGGCTCGAACATCTCTGCCGCCTTGCTGCTGCTCTGGCCTGCTGCCTTGGCCTTGGCCTTTCCATTGCCCTTCCACACGCTTGCTGCCGAGTGCAGGCCCATGCTCCTGTGATGACGCGGGGGCGGAGAGGGGGGAGGGGGGAGCTGGTGAGAGCGGCGACCGGAGCTGGCCTTGGCGCCAAAAGCTGTCGATGGAGCGCGGCACGGACGTGTGGCCGGTGGGGTAGGGGAGAGGGAAAGAGCGGGAAGAGGGGGGGGGGGCACGTACAGTGGCTGTGCCATGCGGGCAAAGGTCATCGTGCGTGTGAGGTGCAGCATGATGGACCAGCGGTGGGAGAAGAGGTGTGTGGCTGGCGGTGGTGACGGTGCGGGGCTGGTGGCGGTGGTGCAGGCAGCCGGGTGCCGCCCGCGGGAGTCGGACGACGGGACGAGCTGAGGCGGTGGTAGTGGCGGGGAAATGATGAGCACGGTGGTTGATCGATTGTGTTATTCTGCCCTCGCTGGAGAACGGGGGTGCGCTCTAAGAAGAGCGCAGGTTGTTGTAGGACGTGTTAGGTCCAGAGCACGCGTGCGCGAGCCGAAAGGCGAAGCTTGCTTACTTCTTCTTCGACTTGTTGGGGAGGAGGACGGCGTGGATGTTGGGGAGGACACCACCCTGGGCGATCGAGACGTCCTTGAGCAGCATGTTGAGCTCCTCATCGTTGCGGATGGCGAGCTGGATGTGGCGCGGGTTGATGCGCGCACGACGGTTGTCGCGGGCAGCGTTGCCAGCGAGCTCGAGGATCTCGGCCGCGAGGTACTCGAGGACAGCAGCGAGGTAGACCGGAGCACCCGAGCCGATGCGCTTGCCGTAGCGGCCCTCCTTGAGGAACCGATGGATACGGCCAACCGGGAACTGAAGCCCGGCGCGCGAGGAGCGCGTGCGCGACTTGGACTTGCCTGTGGGCGTGGAGATGATGGTGAGTGGAGGAGGAGAAAAGAGATGGGATGAGGGGCATGATGTGTCAGCAAGTGTCCGTACCACCGCGGCCGCCCTTGCCCTTGCCACCCTTGCCAGCCATTATGTCTGTTAGGTAATGAGAATGAAGTATGTCGAACGGAGCGAGAGAGGGAGGAGCGAAAAGGTTGGCTGTTTTTGAGGTGCTGGTCGTGTCCCAGTTACACAGTAGTGCATGTTGCACAAGTGTATATCTCGGCCAGTCCCAAAAGTATAAAACCTCGCACCGGCAGCGCGCGCGCCGACGCGACTTTCGTCTGCATCCACTACTCTCAACCTATCAACATGGCCAAGAAGTCGTCGTCCGCCCCCGCCGTCGCAAGCCGACGCAGTCGTACTCGTCGTACATCTACAAGGTGCTCAAGCAGGTGCACCCCGACACCGGCATGTCCCGCCGCGCTATGTCGATCATGAACTCGTTCGTCAACGACACCTTTGAGAAGATCGCCCTCGAGGCCTCGCGCCTTGCCAAGTTCTCGGGCAAGCAGACCATCACCTCCCGCGAAATCCAGACCGCTGCCCGTCTCATCCTCCCCGGTGAGCTCGCCAAGCACGCCGTGTCCGAGGGCACCAAGGCCGTCACCAAGTACACCACCTCGACTGCCTAAGCGCCTCTCCTCGCCCGTCCGTGAGCATCTGCTCGCAGGCAGGCAGCCAAGCAACAACCTGCGCTCTTATTAGAGCGCACCCCCCTCCCTTGCAGTGAGGGCAGAATAACACATCGATCAACCGCCTGCTTGACCTGCGCGTGCCCTGACCACAGCCAACTGCCGCAGCCGATGAAGATCGGACGTGGGCATGCACGTGAGCAATCTACTGACTTTGTGCTCTTTGCGCTCCTGCCCCTATCCATCTCCCCATCCCTATCCCCAGCCGATGATCGCCCGCTGCCCTCCCCCTGCGCTCGACTGCCGCTCTACTCGCCGCTGCCGACTCTTCAAAGGCCAACACTCGCGATGGAAGGCACGACCTTCTATCTTCCCCAACCAACCACGCCACATGCCCTCTACCCACCCACAAGCCCCCCTCTCCTTCGAACTGCCCACCATGTGGCAATCCTCGTCACACCCGACTCTTCGTCAGCCGTGTTTTTCTTGACACTGTGGCGGAGGCGATAATTGCCAACGCACGACGGCGAGGGCAAGGGAGAAGGGAGAAGACGGCAGACGCGACTTGCAACAGAAACATGCAAGCCACCACTATGTTTGCACTTGCTGCCACGGCCATGTACGCATGTTGCGCGCCTTCCGCCCCTCCCCGTGTCCTTCCGTCTGTTCTTCCACACACTCACGTCCTCCCTTCCTCCCGTCTCGTAGGCTTGCGCTTGTGGCTTTGGTCGCAGCTGGCGGGATGGACCCGCGGAACCAGGAGGCGTTTTACGCGTCGATGATGCCCGCGTCGCGCGATACGGGCAAGCCACTGCCATTGACGCCTGCCGAGGAGGCTATGGTGGCCAAGGCGTCGCGGAAGGATGTCAACGGGTGGATCTATGTCAACATCTCGGGCGACCCGTACGAGATGGGCTTCCAGAACGGATACACCATGGCCAAGGAGTGGGCGGCGGCGGTGCAGGCGTACGAGTACATGACGCTGCAGACGACCGGCATGACGTATCAGTTCTTTGTCGACAAGGCCAACGAGATGCAGGCCCACCTCATCACCGACGAGTACATGCAGGAGATGCAGGGCATGGCCGACGGCGCCACCAAGGCCGGCGTCCGCGCCACCCTCGCCGACATTGTCGGGTGGAACGCGTACATGGGCCTGACCGGCTACTGGTGGCCCACTGTTGTCAGCAAGTATGCGTCAGCCAAGAACGACGGCGCCCGCTTCTCCACCTCGCACTGCTCGGCCTTTGTGGCCACCGGCTCGGCCACCGCCGACGGCAAGATCGTCATCGGGCACGAGACTTTTACCTCGTTCTGGAACGGTGCCTTTATGAACGTCATGCTCTCGCTCAAGCCGACCTCGGGCAACGCCATCCTCATGCAGACCTCTTATCTGTACCTCTCGTCCATGACCGACTTTTGGCTCAACTCGGGCGGCCTCGTCGTGACCGAGACCACCCTCGCTGGCTTCCAGGGCTTTGACACCGCGGGCATTCCCGAGTTTATTCGCGTCCGTAATGCCACTCAGTACGCGTCCACCATCGACGAGTGGATCGCCATCATGGAGGGCGGGAACAACGGCGGGTACGCCAACTCTTGGCTCCTCGCCGACATTCACTCGAACGAGATTGCCGAGTACGAGCAGGGCCTCACCTACACCTACACCAACAAGCTTGCCGACGGCTACATCTTTGGTGACAACGTCGCCAACTCGCCCGAGATTCGCAACCTCGAGTGTGCCGACACCGGCTTCTCCGACGTCCGCCAGCAGACCGGTGCCCGCCGCACCCGCTGGCCGCAGCTCCTCAATGGCCACTACGGCAACATCTCCGTCGCCGCCGGCCAGTCCATGCTCGGCGACACCTACGATGTCTACCTCAAGAAGGAGAACCCCAGCTCGCGCTGCATCTGCGGCATGTACGACGTCGACCCGCAGTACTACGTTTCGGACCCCAACGCCGTGTGGAACGTTCCCTTCACCCCTGCCGGCTCGGTCGACGGCAAGGTCACTTCGGCCGACATGGCCGCCCGAATGGAGATGTCCGCCATCTTTGGCCGCGCCAACGGCGCTCCCTTTGACGCCGATGCCTTTATCGCTGACAACCCGCAGTGGGCCTGGCAGAAATCGGTCCTCACTTCGCGCCCGTCGCAGCCGTGGACCACCTTTGCCGGTGCACATTAGCAGCAACAGCACCACCACCAACCACTATCACTATCACCATTATCATCATCATCATCACCACATTCTTCCCCTTCACTTTGTTTAAACACTCTTGTCACACACGCATGTCCACGGCATCCCTTCGGCTGCATCTGCCGCTGCCGCTGTTTGCTCCCCAAATGCGCGCGCGCCCAAATGCACACACCCCAGCCTCCCACCCCCCACCCCCCCACCCACACACACACCATATACCCGCCATGTCTACCCTCGCCCGACTCCGCCGTGCGGCCGCGGCTGCACCTCATCCGCCGTCGTCGACAACCTTGGAAGAACAGACCCGCGCTCATTTGGCCACTCTCCTCGCGCCGCAACCGTCTCATGATGCGGGCGAGATCCGCGACAATGATGGGGCACCAGGGACAACGACAGGCCTAGCCATTCCGCGGTTCCATTTTCCGTCGGCACCGGAATCGCCGGCGGCGGCTCTGCTCCATCGCGAGGCGAGGCTGCGCTTTCTCGGCAGGATGATCGACCAGCTGGCTGATGGCGAGGCGCTCGAGCTCCTCTGGTCAGCTCTTGCCAACGAGGCCACCGTCGGCTTTCCGGATCCAGCCTCCGAGTCTGGAGCAAGCGACGGCGACGGCGACGATGCCGGGCGTGACAAGCTGGACATCCTCGGCCTGCCGCGTGCACCCGAGGACGCGCCAGACTCGGAGCTGATGATCGACTACGCCGGGTACAACGCAGCGGCGCGTGTACTCGAGCCCAAGGTCGCCGCGCTGCTCACGCCGGCCGCTTTCTATCGGTTCCGGTCGGATCCGCTTGGTCGGGTTCCTGTCGAGCTCGTGTACGAGTACGCCGTCGGCCGGGCCTCGCTCCGCAAGACCCGCATCATGCTCGCCGCCCACGACACCGAGGGCTCGGGCTACCTCACCGAGGTCGACATGGAGCGGTTCATCATGCAGTCTGTGAAGGACTTGCCGTGCCTGGCGGCGCTCGATCCGACCTTTGAGGTCTTCTACGTCTGTACCGCTGTCCGCAAGTTTATGTTCTTCCTCGACCCGCTCCGCATGGGCCGGGTGGCCATTAAGTCCATCCTCCTCTCGCCGGTCCTCTCCGAGTTTTTTGAGCTCGAGGACCAGCCAGCCGAAGCCGCGCTGGTTCCCGACGAAATCGAGCGTTCGCGCGGCGCGTCGGGTGCGCCATCGGGCCCGCCGACGAACTGGTTCTCGCTCTTCTCGGCCCGGCGCATTTACGCCGACTACCTCCGGCTCGACACTGACCAGAACGGCATGCTCTCGCGGAGCGAGCTTGCCGCCTTTGGCTCTCGCACCCTCACGCCGACCTTTTTGGACCGGGTCTTTGAAGAGTGCCACACCTACGGAGGCGAGATGGACTTTAAGACCTACGTCGACTTTGTCCTCGCCATGGAGAACAAGTCCGAGCCTCAGGCGCTCTCGTGGCTCTTCCGCATCCTTGACATCTCCAAGACCGGAGCACTCTCGTACTTTGAGCTCAACGTGTTCTTCAAGGACGTGCTCGCTGAGATGGCCGCGGCAGGCTATCCACTTGTGCGCAAAGAGGACGTCATGGGCGAGATCTTTGACATGGTCAAGCCGGCACACCCGACCCGGATCACCCTCGACGACCTGATTGCCTCGGGCGTCGGAGGGACCGTCGTCAACATTCTCACCGACGTTGCCGGCTTTTGGGCATACGACAACCGTGAGATGCTCCTCTCGACTTGAGAGACAAAGAACACAATAAGCGCGTTACACCATGTCGGGCGTGCCGGGCATCATGGCAAACACATCGTGCTCGTCGTCGTCGTCGCTCTCAAACACATCCGAGTCATACGTGTCGAGCGTGTCGCCGGCGTCGTCGGTGTTGGTCGACGTCATCCACGACCACGCGGCCTCCACGTCGCCGCCGCCGCTCCCGCCGCACCCCGACGACGTCGCCGCCGCCGGTGGGGAGAGAAAGCCGCCGGGTGCCGACGACGCGGTGGCCTCGGGCCGCCGTCGCCGCCGCCGCCGTCGCCTCGGTGAGTGTGCGCCATCGCTCACCCTCGCCACAAACTGCTTCCGCCGCAGCTTTTCCAGGTACGCGGCGATGACCGCCACCCGCTCCATGACGGCGTCAAAGACCACGTGGTGTTCGGCCGGCGAAAAGTAGCGGAACAGCTGGACATCGCCCTTGCCGGGCTCGTACTTGTACATGAAAAGTCGCCTCACGTCGTTGGTCTGGAACTCCAGAATGCGCGGAAAGTTGTGCTTGTACTGCAGCGTCAGCTGCGGCGCCGCAGGCAGCTTGGCCCGCTTCCCGTCACTGGCTCCACTCCCGCCGGCAAGCGGCTTGATGAGCCAGGTCATGATGGCGTCGCGCCCGATGACTACCTGCACCGACCGCATCCGGCCCGACGGGAGGACCTCCTCCATGAGGTACGCCTTGGACTCGAGATCAAGCTCGGAGAGCAGCGTACCGAGCGCTCGCGCCTGCGACTTGGTCGGGCCCATCGGGTGCCGTCCGCTCCCGCCGCCGCTCCCGCTCACCGCCGCCGCCGACGACGACAGCGACGAGATCGACGAAATTGACGAGTCGTCCGAGTCCGAGCCCGAGCCCGAGACAAACGACGAGCTCCGCGAGTACCGCTCCGACGCCACGAGCGACGAGCCACGTGATGGGATCGACGGCGGCGGCGCAACCGGCCGCGGCGAGCCGCCGCTCAGGCTCGCGGCCCACCCGCCCATACTAGGCGCTGACGACGCCCGCGGCATCTCGTTCAACACTCGCCCTGCTCCGGTCGCAAGCGGCGCAAGCACCGGGCTCGCCCGCGACCCAAACTCACATGAGCCAGTCCCGGCCCCGCCCATCGCTTTGGGCGACCGCGGCGGAATCATCGCCCGTGCCGAAGCCTCGGGCGTCGGCGAGAGCGTCTCGCGCCGCGGTCGCGGCGGCGGCCTCCGATGGCCGCCGCCGCCGCCAGACCCGCCATCAGCGGCGGTCTCTGCAATGCCCACAGGCACCGGCGGCAGGCTCCGTTCATCGTCGTCACTGCTCTCGGTAAAGGCCTCACTCTTGCCCGCTACCGCCACCGACGCGGCAGCAGCAGCAGCAGCCACCATGGCCGCGCTCAGCTCGGACGATGAGTGCGCCGACGATGCGGTCGATGACCTCCCTCGACCGCTCGACCCTGTCGACGCCACCACCTTTGTCCGCGTCCGGATTCGGACCTTGGTCCGATGACCGCGCGAGGTCGACGAGGTTGATCTCGAGCGAGAGACCAGCGAATCACTTCGTTCGATGATGCGCACAGGTTGCGAGGGCGAGGAAGGCGCAGCTGGCAGAGGTGTCAAAGGAGAATGTGTCTTGACGGCTATCGGCATCATTAGGCGGAGGGGATGGGCTGGAATTGTCAAGGGCAGATGGTGGTGGTAGAGCAGATGGTGGTGGCAGTGGTGGTGGTGGCGGTGATGATGATGATGATGATGGTGACCTTGCTTCTGGTGGTGGTGATGGTCCTGGCCTTGCCGTACCGTCATGGCTGTGGGCAGACGGTGGGGGACTTGTACTAAGAGCCCACATGCTTACGCCACCCGCACACACACACACTCTCTCTCTCTCTCGCACACACACACACACTCTATGTGTGTATGTATGTATGTATGTATGTGGTCGGACGGGTGTGGTCGCTCGTGGTGTGGCTCCAACCTGGGCTCTCCTTGCCTCACTTCCCCACAACACTCGTCGTCCACCTGAAAAGCTGTCGTCGACTGGCAAAGAGCCGAGAGTGCCTTTCGTCGGTAATGGTCGCTGCCGGTGGTAAAAGTCGCCGACCACCACGCCAAAAAGGCGAGCAGATTCAGAGTACGGCAGACGGCTGACAGGTATGTGTGTGTGTGCGTGTGTGTGTGTGTGCGTGTGGCTTGGCTAAACAGAGAGCGTTCAATGCACGGGCGATGACAGCAAGGTCCCTACGCGAGAAGAGTCCAGCGTGTCAGAAGGCCCGCACCCGCTGATGCACGGGGGCACGGGAGAGAAGCTGGCACGTCGGTCGATTAGGACGACGACTCCTCCTCCGAGTCCTCCTCCTCGGACTCGTCGTAGTCCTCCGAGTCCTCCTCGGAGTACTCCTCAGACTCGTCGGACGAGTCGTCGGACGACGAAGCGGCCTTCTTGCCCTTGCCCTTGCCCTTGCCCTTGGCGGCCTTGGCAGCCTTCTTGCCCTTGGCGGCCTTGGACGACTTGCCCGAGGCGCGCGACGAGCCACGGCGCGAGTCGGCAGCCGAGCCACCGCAGCAGCCGCCGGAGGCAGCCTTCTGCGACGAGCGGCCCGAGGTGCCTGTCATTTTAGCCATCCGGTAGACATTCCACAGGTGAGTTTTGCTTGCGTGCGTGCCCGGAGTCGCCGACGGAGCAAAAAAATTGTTCGAGTCCCCGCGCAAAAAAAAAATGTCCGACAAACGCGCGCGCGGCTCAGCTGCGAATTTTGTTTTGTTCGGTCGCCAAACGACCGCCAAACGACCGAGTGCAGCCGTGGGAAGAAAATTCATAGCCTGAGGGGGGCGGCGAGACTGCTGGCGCTGTCGCGCAGGGAAACGCAATGCGGAGAATGGGGACAGGTCTTCGACGCGTAGCGGGAGGAGGGCGTGGGTTGGGGAGTGTGGGAGCGCTGGGCAACGAGCAGCGCGCTGTAGAGCGGCGCTGGGAGAAGCGGGTAGGGGCGCCAAAAAAACGGCCGGCTGATCCTCTTGGCCGCCGCCGGCACTGGCCGCGGTTAGACAAGCCAAGGGGAGGGGGTATACTGGGCAGCAAGGGACGTACGGGCGGACTTGCGGGACGAGGACTTGGCCTTCGACTTGGACTTGGAGGCAGCGGCCTTAGCCTTGCCCTTGGCCTTGGAGGACGAGGCCTTAGCCTTGCCCTTGGCCTTGGAGGCAGACTTGGACGAGCGGGACTTGGACTTGGAAGCCATAGTAAATGAAGATGTGTGTTGCGAGAACCGGTCAAATTGTTGCAGCCAACGTCCAACCGAAGCAATCCGAGGGCCTCATCCATCCTCACCCTCATCCATGTCTTTGGAAGAACTGGGGGGGAGGAGAGGAGAGGATTCGAGACTTCGATTCGAACAAATGCTGGCTAGGGCATGAGCTACGACTAGAGCACGTTCAAGTCATGGTACAATCCTCTCTTGCTCCCGCCTTGCCATGCCTACTACCCATTCCCTCATACTCGCACTCTGCCTGCTCTCGGCTGCTTGGCTGGTGTCGGCGACGCCAACCTGGCGAGGCGGCGTGGTGGCCTTTACGCCGACTCCGTACACGGCGACAGCCAACGCGACGCAGGTGGCGGCGAGCAACCTGGCGGCATATGCCGACGCGGCAGCGGCGGCGGCGGCGGCAGACGTCGAGCTCCTGGTCTATCCCGAGTTTGGCGTCTCGTCTGGCGAGGTCTTCTCTGGCTCGGCCGCCGATCAGCGGGCGGCGCTGACGGCCTTTGCCCAGCCGCTGCCGTCGCAGGCCGCCATCGCTGCTGCTGCTGCGGGCGGTCAGCCGATGATGCCGTGCGGGGACGCCCGCTTTGACTCTGCGTGGCAGACCCAGCAGCTGGCGTGCATCGCCGCCCGTACTCGTCTCTGGCTCGTTGCCAACCTCGTCGAGGCCGATGGCGACAAGCTGTACAACGCTGATGTCGTGCTCGACGCCACCGGTGCCCTCGTCGCCAAGTACCGCAAGTCGCACGTCTGGTTCCGGAAGGCCTACGACGAGCCGGTTGTCCCGGACCTTGTCTCGTTCAACGCCACCTGGGGCGGCGCCCCGCGTGCTGTCGGCATGATGATCTGCTTCGACATTGCCTTTCACTCTCCCGGCACCGTCCTCGTCGACCAGGGCATCCGCATCTTCCCCTATGCCGTCGCCCAGGGCCTTGTCGGTCCGGCCATCGTCAAGACCTGGTCCGCTCTCCATGGCACCACCGTCCTCGCCGCCAACGAAGGCGGCCATGTCTCCATCTATGTCGCTGGCGTAGCGGCTGCCACCACTGCTGCTCCTGCTGGCCGCGCCACTGTAGTCTATGCTGATCTCGACACTGTTTAGTCCTTAACGGTACATAAAACCCAGGAGGACAGCGCATCGCTCGTCTGTGATCGCGCGGGCGAGCCGTGGCGTAAACGGAGCCTGCCGAGCAGTCGCTCTGCTGGCTTGACACGGTGAGCCGCGCGGACGTGAACTGCCGTCGCAAGCTCGCGTTAGAGTAAAGTTCCTTGTCTGTCTTCGCATGGCGAGCCGCCACCCAAACTACCCGTACGGATGCGGACGCACGCTCAACTCGCGCCACTCATCCAGGCCACATGGCAGCGACCGCCGAGACCGACGCCCTCATGCGTTTCATGTATGGTGGCCGCCTTCCTCCCACCCGTGTCCTTCCATGGCTGTACATCTCGGACATGACGACGGCAAAGTCGTTGACCATGCTCAACGAGGCGTCGATAACTCGCGTCGTGGTCGCCACCGCGCCCGACTCGTGCGGCTTCCCTCACGCCCAGCATGGCATCGAGTACATGCGGGTGGCCATCGACGATGATGCCGATGCAGACATCGCCAGCTTGCTCACTCGTCGTCTGTTTCGCTTCATCTGCTCCTCGCAGGCGCCGGAGCAATCAGTTCTTGTCCACTGCGAGGGCGGCATCTCTCGATCGGCCTCGATCATCGTCGCCGTCCTCATGCTGGGTGCGAGCCTCGACTACGATGCTGCGCTTGCTTTTCTTCGCCGCTCCCGCCGGCTTGCTACACCCAATCCCGGCTTTGACGCTGCGCTTCGGGCGTGGGCTGACTCGCCCGAGTTTACGACACTCGCATCAGAGTTTGACGTTGTCCTCGATGTCGACAACGACGCACGCAGCGACGAGAGCGACGGGCGCTAATGCACTCCGACATGTGCCGGCTGCTCAACATTCAATCCATGGCGACTGCGCTACAGCTGGAGCAGCGGCGCCGGCTCGCGCGTCTCTCTAGCCCGCGGCTCGGGCGTGGTGGCGTTCGGGCCGGCGATGCGCGGAACGTGTGGTGGCGGTGTGGTGACGGCCTTGGATGATGCCATGCTCGCCTGCGCCTGAGCGAGAAAAGCCTCAAAGTCGTCCTCGATCGAGTCTGCGGGCGAGGTGCCGGCCCAGGTGTCGGGAGCGCCCAGTGCGTCCTCGACATCCTGGTCGGCGAGGCCATCCAGTGAAAACTCCTTGCTCGATGTCTGTGCGTCGCCAAAGACGTCGACAACCGCCGGTGACGCCCGACGTCCATCGCTGCTTTCTTCAGCCGCCGACGGAGCCGCCGCCGCTGCTGCCGCCCCCGCCCCCGCCACTTCCCCCGACCCCGCCGCCGCCGCCGCCGCCGCCGCCGCCGCCTTGGCTGTCGCTGCCTCGTCCGCCGCGAGCGCCGCGCGCTGTGCATCCAGAAACGCATCCTCCTCCAGCATGTCGTCCTCCATCCGCGCTGCACGCTGCAGCTCTTGTGCATCATCCAGCGACAGCTTGAGCGTCAGCAGGGATATCTGCCTCTGCGTTAGCGGCGCAGCGTCATCCAACCAGTCGTCATCGCCCTCGCCGTCCGAAGTCGATCCCGCCGTCAACGGTAGCAGTTGCGCTATCCACCCCCCCCCCCCCCCCCGAACCATCCCAACACATTTTAGCCCATCCCCCAGCACCCCATCCCACCCATCACCCCCCATCACCCCCCATCACCCCCATCACGTGACCCGCCAGCCATGTTGCGCACACAGCCGGCACCAACCGACCACCGCCCACACGGACCACACACGCACCCATACACCAAGACCACACACAGACAAGCAAACCATAAGCCACACGCACGCACACGCACACACACACACACACACACACCACCACCACCACCAACATCATCATCATCATCATAAGTGCCTCCTTCCCTCCCTCCCCACCAACGCCACCGACGCCTCCTTCCACCACTCGCCAACGACCCGCAGGCACCACCACCACACACACACACACACACACACACACACACACACACACACACACACACACACACATACACACACACACACACACACATACGTACCTGTCTCATACCCGGGGCCATACTCGTGCTTGGGATACGGGCGTTTGTTGCAGAGCCCGAAACACTGTCCCATTCGCCTGATTCGTCCGGCTGTCGTCTCTCCCGCTCTCCGCCACAAAGACGAGTGCTTGCCACCGTCGCCATCACGACCACGATACGCTGTTGTGCCGACATGCCCCGGGCTTTGCCATCGAGCAAGACACACATTGCAGGACCGGTGATTGTGTATGCGCTATCGCTCACGGCCCAGACAGCCAGTAGACCAGCTGTCGTGAGAGCTCCGGGCCGACAGAGAGGTTGAAGACGCAGAGATGGTGGCGGAGGCTCGAGGTGATGACGGCGCCCTCGCCTAGCACAATTAACGCCTGGTATGTGAGCACCATGCCGGCGTACGTTACCAGCATGCCGGGATCTGGCTCGCTCGGCTGCGGCAGGTCCCACTCGCAGGTTCCGCGGCCAGCCGTCGTCAGCACTGCCATCGCTGCCGCGCAGGTCTCGAGCGCCCGCATCGCGCAGTACCCGGTGTGGCTTGACTCGGCGAGGACGCCCAGCTCTGCGCCAGCTGCATACGCGTCGAGCGCCCCGGCAAACGCAGCAGCAACGTCGGTCGTCTGCTCGAGCCCAAAGCCCTCCATCGCCGCCACCAGCTCGGGCAGCGGCTCAGCACCGCTTCCAGAGTCGACCACAAAGCACCCGTACTGCTCCTGGCGCGCCAGCGTGCTCGCCGCCACCGCCGACGCAGACACCCACCGATACGAGACGGGACATAGGAGCTCCGCTGGTGCAAACCGGAGCTTGTATTGCATCCGCGCATTGGTAGGCACGTAGTAGCCCATGAGGTAGTGCGCAAACTCGGCGCTGCGCCGCTGGACCCACCGCATCTCGTACATCGCTGAGATCAGACCAGGCGAGAGGTGCCGGATCGCCGGGTCGTAGAAGCAGTAGCACGAGACAAACGCGCCCGGCAGTAGATCAGCCACGCACACCATGACCAGCTCGCCGTCGAGCCGGTGCTCAAAATGGTATGTCCCGTACTCGGACACCACATCCAGCGTTGCGTTGCTCTCGTTGTAGCCGCCACTGACGCTGCTGCCCTCACCCGCCGCAACCTCGTCTGCGGCCCCAACGCCCTCGCTCCACCTTCCCCCATCTTGCCCACAGTCTCGATCGGCGACACTGCCGCGTACGCAGAGCCGGACTCGAACCGCGACACCGACGGCGACCTGTTGAGTGGTGTCTCGACCAGGAACCGGGTGTAACCCGTCGGCGACGTCGACGTGTCGTCATGCACCCCAGCCTGGTACTTGACATACAGCTGGTATGCCTCTGTCGAGAACCGTGCCTTGCAGCAGCTTACCGTCCATCGTCCAAAGCCCTCACCACCCGCAGAGCAACCCGCTCCATCACCAGCCGCAGCCTCCAGCTCCGGTCGCTCTTTGATGGCCTTGACAAACTTGCGCCACTTGCCGCGCAGGTCTTTGATGGACGCCATGACCGAGCGTCAGCTCTGATCTGATACTGTGGACAACAAGCAGGAGCATTGACCGGGAGATAGACCCAAGTACCAGATCTTGCCCAGCCCCGATTAAGCAGCCTCAGCATGGCCTCGGCCGACAGCTCCCTCGCCAGCATACCGCGAGCTACCCTCGTCCCCTCGCTCCCGCAATACGGACAGTCTCGGACATACTCTCCACGGTACCGCACGTGGTTCATCTCGGCCCTGCCCCTCTCCCTTCTCTCCTATTCTCTCGCCCTCGAGCGCCCTGCCTCGCTCTGTTCCCGCTCGCTGCCGCCGGTCCTCGCACTCGTCACGCCCGAGTCGCGTGTTGCCGCCCTCCAGCTCCCGCCTCTCGCCCACTCGCTCACACTTTGCCCACTCGTCGTCGACCTGAAAAGGATTTTTGCTTTCACTCGCATCGTCTACAGCGCCTACTCACCACCGGCCGGAACCCGATCCAGACATGGATGCCGATGTCGAGTCGCCAGGGACGGCGATCTTGACCCGGCGCCGGGTCGTCGTCGTCGTCGCGGCCTCGTCGCCAGAGATCGAGTACGACTCGGACCACGAGGAGTTGCGGACAATCCGCCGCCGCCGCTTCACGACGGCGCCGCCGTCTGCGGCTTGCGAGACGACCTTGACACGCCGCTTTTGCTTGGTCCACTCATCGCCGTCGGCTGAGTCCTCGGACTTGATCACCGCCCGACGCCGCACCTTGCGCCGCAGCGTGTCGTCGTCGCTACCAGAATCCGATTGCGACCGCGAGACCGAGCGTGACACGCGAATCTTGCGCTTGACAAGTGTCTTGCCATCAACCTTGACCGCGCCGTCCCTGCCCAGCCCAGCCGCTGCACGTACCTCGGATGACGACTCGGTCAACGTATGCACCGTCTTGGCTGCGGAGCGACTCGGTTCGTCGCTCAACTTGGAGCCAGAGCTCGAGTCAGAGCTCGAGCTCTTTGGTGCCGAGGTGAGCGAGCTGCTCGAGCTTGACGAGTCCGACGGGATCTTCGAGAGAGTAGGGTGGAAGACCGAGCTCGTCGACTGGCGATCAAGCCCGGTCGAGGTAGTGAACGTAGTCGTCGACGAGTATGTCGCAAGCGTCGTCGACGTTCCATGGTCGACAACCGACGAAGTCATGATCTGGGTCGAGCCCATGCCCTCTTGGCTGGACTCCTCATACAGGACCTTGGCCTCGTCAAAGTACTCGCGGCTCTCGCGGAAGTACACCGCCGCCACGCAGCAGCAGATGCAGCAGCAGATGAACAGCAGGCATGAGAGCACAAAGATCCACCACCAGTCGCCGCGGTTGCGGAACGAGCGCACCGCCGCAGACACCTCGTCGTCTTCCACAATCGTCACCGTCAGGCGCGCCGCATCAGCACGCCGCTCGCCATTGACCACCGTTGTGATTTCCACCTCGAACGTCTCGTCGCCCTCAATCACGTCGTCGCCGACCAGGTAGATCGGAACCGTGATCGAGGTCTGTCCCGGAGGGATCACCACATCGATGGTCATCGTCCCCGTCTCGGGGTCAAACCCGACCACATCCGACGGGTCCGCAAACGCCCCGTCGCCTTCAGAGAACACAATCCGGAGGCTGACAACAACAGACTCGAACGAGTTCGCCTCCAGCTCGATCGTGATGTTGACCCTGTTCTTGGCCGAGTTGCCAGAGACCGTGCCTTCGGGGCTCGAGCTCTGCGTCGCAGCCAGCTTGACACCAGGCTGTGCGTCGTCGTTCGGAATCGTCACGTTGGCATTAAGCGGCGCGATAGCAGGAGCGTCTGGCAGCGTGAACGCCAGGTCGAGAACCTCATCGCGCTCATAGTCGATGTCACCAACAACCACCACAGACGCGTTGTATGCCACAGTGTTGGGCGGGATGACCAGCGTGGTACCTCCCGTAGCCGTATCGCGGGCCACGCCATCGGTGCCGAGCGTCGCCGTGCTCGTCGACCGCTGCTGGGTCTCGACCCGCATCTCGCGCTCCACCGGCCGGCTCAGCTGCAGGCCGATGACAACCTCGGTCTCGTCGCCAACATTGCCCTCCACCACGTCAAAGGCAACGTTGCTCGAACCAGAGCCGCTGGCGCCAGTCACTGTTCCAATCAAGATCGGCACCCCGCCGGACTCTTCGACAAACACGGTGGCCGTTCGGTTATCAGCCGGCGCGAGTGATGCCCCGGTAGCTGATGTGATCATGACCTCAAACGACTCGTCCGGATCATACCACTCGTCGGCAAGGACCGTGACGTTGAAACGCCCGCGCGTGCTGCCACCCGGAATCGTCACCGTCACCGGCGAGTCCACAAAGTCGACCCCCGCAGTTGCCAGCCCACCGGTGATCGCCGACCGCGCAACCGTGACGTCTACAGCCCGATCTACGGGGTGAGAGAGCACGACCTCAAAGAAGCCCACACTTTCTCCGCCAGGAGTCACCGGCTCGACCACAATCAGCGAGTCGCGATCCAGCCAGGCCATCGTGTCATCGTTGGTAATCGTGACTGACACGTTCGCCGCGTTGGTCTCGCCGTAAAAGTCACCCACGAGGCCGAGCGTAAGCACCTCATCGTTCTCAGCCTCGTCATCGCCAGAAACAACAATCGACACGTTGTACTTTGTCGCCAGTGCAGGCACTGACGGTTCAGCGCGACTAAGGGTCCCAATCACAGTGGCGTCGGACGGAAGCTCCGCCGACGATGCGGGATCCAGCGCAGTTCGAAGGTCAATCGCGTGCTCCGACACCCGCGAGAGGGTCAGCTCCATCACGAGCTCGTTAGTCGCCGGCGCGTCGCCTTCGCCAGTGATAACACCAACATTCGCGGTATCCTGGCCCGATACGCCCGCAGTATCTCCGTCCACTAGCCGCGCCACAAAGGTAGGCGCCGGGCCAGAGTCGGCAATCGTGACCACCGTCGTGTCTGCCACACCGATCAACGCACCGGCCGTGGACGTACCGGTCAGCTTGACATCGAACGTCTCGCCGCCGTCGTACCATGCGTCCGCGGCCACAACCGCATTGTACACTGCGCTCGTCGACCCGGCTGGGATCGTCACCGTCGTCGTCTCGACCGTAAAGTCGGTTCCGCCCGTCGCGAGCGAGCCCGACGACACGCTCGTCGCCACATCCACCACGACGTCGTACGACGCCGTCGTGTCCATCGTCACCGTGATCGGCACGTTGACCGTCCCCGATCCGGGCTCGGTCGCTGCAGCCGTCCCGGCCGCCATCGTCACCACCGCCGCGTCATCGTTGGTGATCGTCGCGGTCACGTTGACCACGTCAGCCGCCAGTTCCGCGCCGCCGTAGTTGGCGATAAGGCCAAGGTCGAGCACCTCGGTCGGCTCGAGCACCCCGTCGCCCGACACCACAACAGACACCTGGTGTGTCGTCGCAAGCGCCGGGATCGTCATCGGGCTTCCCGTCCGCGCCACAGTGTCAACAATCGTCGCGTCGGACGGCACATCCGCCGTCGACGTCACGCCATCGACCTCGACAACGAGTCCAGCCGCGTACTCGGATGGCCGTGACAGCGCCAGCTCGACCACAAGCTCGTTGGTCGTCGACGCCGCACCCTCGGGCCCAGTCACAGACAGTGCATCCGTCCCGTCGCCCGACACAGCGGTCGTCGTTCCGCCGACCACCGTCGCGGTCAGCACCGGCGCCGGTCCCGAGTCGGCAATCGTCACAACCGTCGTGTCTGCCACGCCCACGGAAACGCCAGGGGTAGACGTGCCGGTCAGCTTAACATCGAACGTCTCGCCGCCGTCGTACCATGCGTCCGCGCCACAGTCGCGTTGTACACTGCGCTCGTCGACCCAGCTGGGATCGTCACCGTCGTCGTCTCGACGGTAAAGTCGGTCCCGCCCGTCGCGAGCGAGCCCGACGACACGCTCGTCGCCACATCCACCACAACGTCGTACGACGCCGTCGTGTCCATCGTCACCGTGATCGGCACGTTGACCGTCCCCGATCCCGGCTCGGTCGCTTCAGCCGTCCCGGCCGCCATCGTCACCACGGCCGTGTCGTCATTGGGCAACGTGACCGTCGCGTTGAGGGTCGCCGCGACCTGGTAGTACGAGGCGACCATCGCCACGTCAAGCACCTCATCAGTCTCTAGCACTGCATCGCCATTGACGACAAGCGAGACCTGGTAGGACGTCGCGAGCGAGGGAACGGTCGGGCCAGTCCGCGACACAGTGCCCACGATGTCGACATCGTTCACGATGTCTGACGTCGAAGTGGGGCTAGTAACCAGCTGGAGGCTAGTGGGGTGCTCGGCCGGTCGCGAGAGCGTCACATCCAGTACAATCTCGTTGGTCGCTGGTGCATCGCCCTCTGTAGCGGTGGTAATAGCGAGATCGTTGGTGCCAGTGCCGGTCACACCAGTGACTGCCCCGCTCGAAACAGTTGCGACCATCGTCGGCGCCGGTCCCGAGTCAATGATGGTAACCACCGTCGTGTCCTGCAAGCCAGTTGTAGCTGGCTCCGACACACCCGTAATTGCGACGTCGAACGTCTCACCCCCATCGTACCATGCGTCCGCGGCAATTGATGCGTTGTACACCACACTTCTCGAGCCAGAAGGAATGACCAGCGTCACCGTCTCGGCAACAAAGTCGGCCCCACTCGTCACAAGTGAGCCTGACGACGGCG